TTTGTTTAAAGAAGTATGTTAAACAGTATTTGCCTGTTTTTATACTCTCACCTTTACCCATAATGTTTATGTGGTATTAGTGCTCACGGATGAGTGCGTTTAGAAGGCTGTGTTTCTTTCCAATTTCGCCTTCATCCAGGGCTGTGTCCACATAATGGGGCTTTACTCTTTAGGTGATCTAACTTCACCAAGGTGCGCCTAATAATGGCTGAGACTGCCCTGTGCTTCCAAAATGCTAAGTTCTTGGCTCTTTTAACTAGATTATTTTTGAAGTTTGACCAACTTTTTGAGAGGATCTGTGCTGAGTGGAGTGTTGATCTTCTGTGCATTTGACTCATTTTTAATCAAAGTGGTGATTTCTGGGATTGAGATTTTATCCAGATAAATTTTTTCTTGTGGTCTTCTATGTGGATACATTTGGTAAGGATAATGTCACAAGACCAATCTATAGTTTAAGGAGCTGATTTTGTAGGTGAAAATTGTTAATTTGTTTGCGTTTATTTGTTGATGCAAGTATAAGGATGATTCTTGTTAATGATATTTATGCCTTTGTACATATGGGGTAGAGTCATGTTCAACAATAGGGTGCCCCACTAGGGTGGGTATTATATAGGCAAAGAGTGTCCTTAAAAGTTTAGAGCTCAATATGTCCAAGTGGGTTGCCTATGATCACAGGCCACCAATCCTTCAATGGGTCAGCCCGCCAATTCATGTCACTGACTATGAAGGTATAAGGGGGAGAGGAAGCAGAAGAATGGAATTTAAATTTTTTCTCTCATTCAAGCTATTTGATGTATAAACACAGGCCGCTGAGAGCATTGATGTATCAGTAATAGTTTTTATGAGCACTTGTCATTTATCTATATTCGAGATTTTTGAATTTTATGATTTTGTAATTGTGCACATATTGTCCACTTTGACTTGTCCAGATTATTTATGTTGTTAGGAGTTTGTTGAACAAAACTATTATTCGTCCTGTAGAATGTGAGTTTCTTGAATGGCCAAGATGTATAACAAGGGGTTTACAAGGTTTCATTTTCTTGGCTTGGGACGTTGAAGCTCTTATTGCTGCAATATTAAGCGTCACTATTTTTACTGAGATGCCTAATGCACCTCAAAAGCAATTGGGAGAGCCCCCTTATCCCATCCTTCACTTTACTTTTGGTAGTAGCTGCAAGTTTTGGGGTCATTTCCCACCTGAGTTGTTTGAGTAACTCCAAGTTACCTTCTTCTTGTCCAGATTTTTCTTTTTGTGCATTATTTACCAGATTATGTTGAATGGCGTGATCTTTTTATTTTGTTGGCCGCAAGAGGTGAGGTTTAAGTGTGCATATGTTTGACTTAAGTTGATTGATTGTCTTTATGGGGGTGGTCTGGAACTTATATATTCTCATCATTCCTTCCATAGTTTTTATTTTATTTGTCTGTTAATTTGATTGGTTCAATTTTTAATCTCTCCATGTCTATCTGGATCTGTTTGGGGTGATGGAGGTATATTCAATGTTGATGCCATGGCCGCGGCTTGTTAGTAGTCTTTTGGGCCATTCTGCAAACCTTAGAAAAGACTGGATTAAGAAGCACATATTGTCCATCCTCTCCCCACAGGAAAGCGTAGTTAGTGTCCATTTTTTAGCAAAATCTTTAATGTCCTCCTTCATTGCTTTTTCACAGAAGGTTGGTGCCATTAAATATTTTTTCTTTTTTTGTACTAGTGGTGCCCAACCCAAAAGGGGGAGCTGCCACGCATCTTTATTCACAAATGGGCCAAACAAAGGTATTATCATAAGTTAAATTATCCTAATATAGCCTCTAGGTTATCAGCCTAGAAAGCCATATTAGATGGCGAGGAGGCTTTGGGGAAAATATTTTCCGGTGCCCGCTTTAGCTGGTGGACCATGTGGACAGCATTGGGGTGGGAGCATCATTGACATGGGGCATAAGGAGGTATAGTTGGGGGTTTTCTTCGTTAATGAGGCTGGCGGTGTCCATCTCCTCAACATATTGCCATTAATTATTTTTTGATTGAGAATTAATAGTTTTTATGTCATAGTGCACTGCAGTAATTACACATAAGAGGTGTATTTATGTTTATCTCTTAAAGCTTTTAGATGCCCCCGCCTAAATTTAGGAATATTGCAGTTTGAGAGATTCTGGTGAGATCCTTGAAAGTCTCAGGGAGCAGCTTAATCACTGTAATTGCTTTTTCTGTTATAAGATTGGCAAAGATGAAAACGCTGCGTTTCAAGTTGTTTTAATATCTCCATTGCTGGATAGGCCTGCACATAGTTTACTTTAATGAACTTAAAAAGTATATCTTGGGGATGAAAATATATAGGACATAAACAAAGTCTTAGCTTTGGTCCAACAGGTTCATACTGTGTGAACTACTCTTTGATCTTTAGGTAGATCAATTGCTACACAGGTTTTTGCTGCTTTATCTACCTCTTCCTTTGTTTCAAAACCATTATCAATTATTCCATGATGGATTGTGTGAGTGGTAAAATAAACTGCTTGTTGGAACAGTGTTGCCTGATCCTCAAACAATCTATCCCACAAAGCTGGAGAATTTAAACCTTGGTACAGGTAAAGAATATGATCCACTTGGGCAAAGTTTTTGTGTTGGACCTCTAGGTACACGTTTTGTTTAGTTGTAAAATCCACAATATTTAGATGGTGTCTGGTTCTGTAGTTTCTTCAATGCTGCAATTCACGCCCACCCTCCAGGACGTTTTCAACTTCAGACGAAGTACTGAAAAGCTCAATACCTTTCATATCTCTCGCCCAGTTCAATTTATTTTTATCATTTTCACTCATCTCACTTGCTGATTATAAATTTGCTGTTTAAGTTTGATCATTGTTTTTAAAAGGGATAGCACTGAAAAAGAGATGCAGGCAATTGAAAAAAGCAAATAAAAAAAACTAAAAACTAAAGCCCAAAAACAAAAACTTCTATTTTTTAAATATATTTTCTTTAAATTCTTTTTTCAAATTTTTAGATAATTTTTTTTAATCATATATGTCAATTTCTTATTTAGATAAAAGCTTTCAAGATTTGGCATTGACTTGATTAATTATTCAATCATCAGAATGTTTATATCTTTTTTAAAGATTAAATTGTCAATTTTGAAATCACTTTGAATGGCTCTAACCAAAAAATTTCCAGCTTTGGGTTGGAAATTAACACCTACTATGAAATAATAAATAACTTTACCTCAAGTGCTGATATAAAAAGAAGATGTTGTTTAATTTCATCCTTAGCTTGATTTTTGATTGGTAAGGTGAAAAAATTCTTTCATCAGGTTTTTACTCACTTCATCCAGGTAATTCCTAGTCTGTTCTGTAGCTGGCTTTATAGGGAAATATCTATTTCATTTAATTTGATGTTAGATAGGTTTTTATTTAGGATCCACTAACATCACAGCATTTAAATAAAGTACTACCCAGGCTTGTGGTCAAAGATCATTCTTCTTGATCAAGTGTATACTCCATATTAATTTACATATTTTGTTCTTCTTTCTTTGTAAAGATTTAACTTCCCTGCAGTGAGCACCTTTGTAAAATACTGCAGTAAATTTCTTTCAAAAAGAAATTTGCAAAATTCCTAGGTGTCCACATCTGTGGCAAGTTGTCCATAGTTTATTTACTTGTTCCAGTACATACAATAATATGTCATAATTTACTTGGATAACATTTTTTTCTCTAGGTTTTTAAAATCACACTGTTTTACTATTAAAAATCACCTCATTGTTGATATTATAGTTTCTCTTCGGCATTTCAAATGTCAATCCTAACATTTTTAAAAACTACCAGAAAACAGTGTTCTTTAAAGTAAGTTCCCAAACCATTGCTTAATGAAGGTCATGACGTAGCCATAATTCATTTTACATGCCAATTCTGGAATCAGGATCGCTCATAGCATTTGTCCCTGTAAGAATCTTGGCCTCAAGGTAAAAGTTGGTTGGTAAAAGCCCCCATTTTTCTTTTTTAAAGTAATATTCATGAGCTCTTGCTTTCTGATGTCCATATGTTCTGTACTTCCAAATTTCTTCATGAGGCTTCTTTGGCCTCTCTATTTCCAGTTTTCTCCTTGTAGGCATGTAAAACTAGATTATGACATTACATATCAAGATAATTGGTATTGGAACAGTTTTTACAATTTCTATAAACGTATATTGTCATTTTACATAAGGAAACAAAGACAGGCACATTGTCCTCATGGAAAAGGGTACCTTTGCATACTTCTGAAGTCTTCAACGAAAAAATTGCAGTATATTGAACTGTTAAACAAGTAGTTTTGGGAGCAGACTTAGGAGTTGCTGGGATTTTTGCCCATATTCTCAGATGACTAGATTAACAGGGGTCGCTAGTGGATAATTCCCTATAGTGAAGTATATTAAATATTGGTTGACCCTGACTTTTGGGTAACAATGTTTGAGGGACTTTAGGTTATTCGCCTGAGTCATATTCATTGAGGATCAATCCAGATGAATGCTTAAGATCTTATCAGGCAGAGTTTCTGACAAAATAGGGGCATCTAATAGTTGATCAATGATTGTTTAATCAGATGTACCAATTGGGATTGGTCAGGTTTACTCACCAACCAATTAGAAAATTTAATAATTAAATTGCAAGGCAAGTGATGCTACCTGTAACTATCAAATCAATCAGTTGGTTTGCAACCTGCCTTAATGGGTAACAAGTCCCACTACCTATGCAGGTTGCTTGCCAAATATGGCTGGTTTTCTGGGATTGAGAGGAAATTGTTAGGGACATGTTTTTGACTCTTTCCATTTTAGGTCTTGAGGATGTCCAATGATGGAATCCTAGCCAGGATGGGGAAGTCCATCACAAATTAGACAAGGATGGATAATTTAGTGGCAACTGCTATTATTTCGTTGAGGAGGTGCCAACTGAGAGTTGGGCGCCGAATTCCTACTATAATTTCCCCTAAGAATTCACTATTGAAGATATACAAATAGGCAGATATACTTATAATTATACTGGGGGTAAGCGAGTTGGTAAGGGCATATGGCTACCAACCTGAAGGTTGTGGGTTTGATTCCCGCCCTTCACACATCGATCAGGGTGCCAGCCAAAGGAAGCTATTGGCGTTTTTTAGGTCTAATAACACGAAAACCTTACCCATGATGTAACCAGAAAATTTGAGTCCTGATCTGGAGGTGGAAAAACTTTCCTTGACGGAGTTGACCCTGTTCAGGTTTCATGTCATTTCTTTCTTTTGGTAATGCCTGTCCCCTGGTTGGCTTGCCTCAGTTAAACAAATATTTATAATTATACTGATATACTTACACCAGAATCCATTTTAAGTTCTATTCTTTCCCAAGAAATTTCTTGCTGTGTGCTTTAATTGGGAGAATCTTTAGGATAAAGAGTAAGGATCTGAGTTTGGACTAGAGAATAGAAGCTGAATCAAAATTGGGGATTACTGCCAACTGTGTGTCACCAGAGAGAAACCATAAATTAGGATCTGAGCGTGGATCAAGTTAGGTGATACCAGGGAACAAATCCCTATTGAAGGCATCTTAAGTATTTAAGAGGTAATACTGGTCAAGCTTTGGACCCATTAGAAAATTTTTTGCTCTGGTTGTTATTCGGGCAATAACCCCTATAAACTTATGACATGCACAGGTCAAGTTATTGTGCAATTTGTCCGCGTTGTAGTGTTGTTGATATATTTGGTTGATAATAGTATGATGACTATTATCCATGGTTGAATGGAATTTTTAGATCTCAGCCCAACGTTTGGCCAGTATTTCTGCTCAAAATACTTGAGATGTCTCAAGATAAAGATTTGTTCCCTCATATTGTACAACCTAATTTTCTCTGAGATTCTTAAGTGACAGTTTCTCTGGTTTGACACACAGTTAGCAGCAATACCTATTTGTTTCTGCTTCTTCTCTGGATCCCCGCTCAGATCCTTACTCTTTTTCTTAAAAGACTCTTAATTATTGTATACAGCAATAATATCCCTGAGACTGAATAGAATAATTGAAAGCTAATAAATTTTACTACTTAAACTATATAACAATAAAGACTTCTTTTTTATTATAGTGAATTTTAGGGAATTTAAAGTGGGGATTCAGTAGTCTAACCCTCAATTTACACCTTTTTAATGAAATGGCAGCTATTGCTATTGAATCACCCATACTCATCTCAGCAGTGATGGTTTTTACATCCTGTCTAGGTTTCTGTCATTGGAAATCCTTGAGCCTAAAATGGAAAGAGTCAGTAAACTTCTCCCTGACGCCTTCCTCTAAATCCAAGCAAACCATCCATATTTGGCTTGTGTCCTGCTTAGGTAATGTGACTTGTTAACCATTTAGGCAGGTCACAAACCAACTGATCAATTTGCTAGTTACAGGCAGTGTCACTCGCCTCACAACTTACTACTTACATTCCCAATCAGTCAGTGATGAGACTCAACTGATCCCAATCAGTACACCTGATAGTTAATCACTATCAGATGCCCCTATTTCATTGGCAACTCCACCCGAAGAGATCTTAAGCATTTATCCAGATTGATCCCTGATGGATACAACCAAACAAATATCCTAATATCCCTCAAACATAGTCACTCCAAAATCAGGGTCAACCGATTTCTAATTCAACTCACAATAGGGAATTAGCCCCTAGTGATTCTTGGTAACATAGAAAGCTGGGAATATGGGCAAAAATCCCAACACATCCCCCTCTTGCCTGGATTTCCAGCGAGAAAAGGACTGTGGTAGGAGAACACTGCTTCAGACACTCAGTCAAATACTTTATTTGCTCAAGCAGAGTATGATCATCAATACTCAATGCTGCTCAGGATGACCTTTGGCATGTGGCTCTATTCCTCTTCCTCCTCGCTACCATCTACTCACAGCATGGTCTCCATGATCTACTGTCATGCCGGGCTGATCAATTTACTCATGGCGATATTAATCCCAGGATCCAGTTTCCCCCATCAGGGCATATGACCTGCTGTCATATCTAAGATTCTTGGTCCGGCGTCCTTGATTTCTTGATTTTCTCCTCATCCTAGACAGGAGACTCTTGCTGTCAATGTTTGTTTCCTGGCCCAACTAAGAATGCCTATTTATGTTTGCCCTTGTTATTTTCTTATCATAACCTCTTGGCTCATATCATTCTTGATTCTTCCCTGGAGAGCTTATCCCATTATGTTTGAGATTATTTCTCCAAAATTGGAGCGTAATGGATTGTAGAGTGCATAATATCATCTTCCATATAAGTTTCACATCCCCCTTCTCATCCAGCTCATATGTCAGATTCTGAGTTGAGGTACCAACAGCTACTCAACAGTTTGTCTGATCAAGTTCTTTGGCTCTTCCAGAAGATGTTTCAGGATGCACGATGGAGCCTCTTCTATGGTCCTTCCAGGACTCACACGCCTAGTCTGGCACCAGCGGCTAGTCCTTCCATGTAATTATCAGAAATGGTAACCAACCCTTTGGAAACCAGGCTAACAATTGTTTTGAACGACTTGCAGTTGATTCTCCCTCTTTCATCAATTCCAGATTTGGATTTTGAAACTCTACTGGATTTGGCTCCTTTCTCAGATGCGTCAAACATCATTGTGGATGCTCCTGATTATATGCCTTTCACTATTAATCGCTCCTTTCTTGCCAGGTCAGACTTTCTTCCTGAGTTCTTCTTCTGACTCAGACAATACTACAAACCCACTGTCTTGGCTACCAAGCTCACCATCAGCAACTGTATTCATTTTGAACTCTCCTATGCAGAATTGAGGGCCCAAGTCACCAAGGATTTATCCCTAGTGCTGAATCCCTCCGACCTTGAGAACATCCTAGATTGGGATACCGCCACTTATGCTCTTCAATTTGCAGGCCAAGTTTTTCAAAGATGGGCCATGAAGCTTTTAGTTTCTTCCAGGTTCCATCATTCCTTCTGCTTCAGCTTCCGAGAAGCTCTTAGTCATCACTTGCAGGATGCCATTTGCTCCTTGCACAACTATCTTGTTTCTGGCACTTCCCATTGGTATCTCCCACTGATGGCTTTAATAGGGGGCATATTCAGCAACCCCCATCCAGTATCTCTTGTTCACTGCTGGCCCATATGTCCAGTGTTCTTGACAAAGCCTGTTGGCAGGTACTCAAGACTATCTTCAGGTTCTGGTACCATATCAGGATTACTCAGGGTTATTCACCAACTGCCTCTTTCTATACTGTTGGTCACTCCCCACTCTGGGCTTTAAAATTGGCTTATTCTGACATCTCAATTTCCCTTCCCTAGTCACTTTCTTGCAGGGATCTGCGCCCGCTCAAAGAACTTGGTTTCATGTAGGTCTAGCCCTCACTAGCATCCGTTCTCACATAGATTTTTATGGGTTATTTATCCTACAGCAATCCATCCTCCCTCCCTCAAGAGGCGACCTGGCGGAATCATCCTGATTTGAGGATAGTCAATTTAAATACAAATTATAAAAATATATTGGTTTTTTCTATGCAGTTTATGATATTTTTGTTTTTTTTTCCAATTTCTTTTATCAATTTTTTATTTTTTTCTTCTTTTTTCATGGGACTTGACCTTATTTCAGTTCAGAGGTCCATCTTTTTTATTTTTTCAACCAAACTGGGTCCTATTATTCTTAACCTACCAGTTTTCTATGGTTCAGAGGACCTTTTTGGACTTAACCATCTAGACTTGTTCAAAGGTCCTTTTTTCAGACTTGACCTAATCATCAGGACATAACAAACTTAATGGTTCATTGGACATTCAGGAACTCTTATTTTTTGTTTTACAAATCCATTGCTTCAAATACTTAGCATGGACTCAATTTACAACTCTTCCATCCAAGAGATTCTTGATGTATTAGGCATATAGTCTTTATCTTGTCATTAATCTCAAATGGACCCAAACAAATCACCCAGCTTGTTTCTTCCCCCAAAACCATGCATATAGCAATAGGCAACTCTTTCAACTATAAATATTCTTCCAAAGCTGGTCAGTTCTTAACATCTGGTTTTTACACTCATATCTTTTTCTTTAAAGTTGTATTGAATGCTTGTAATTGCATCTCAATCAGGAAATTTTTCAATCAGTTCAAGTACTGTTCAGCATTCATCCCTGATGTTAATTCCACCACTAATAAATAAGTTTGGTGGCAACGCGGCCTTCCTCATGTATAACAACTCAAATGGCGTTTTTCCTATCACTGTATGATGACTGATATTGTAGGAAAATGTCACCGGACTCAGGTACGTTCCCCATGCGGAAGTTCTTCCTGTGCCAGCTTCCTCAGCGTCATGGACAGCATTCCATTCACTCGTTCTACCAGCCCATTTGTCTCTGGCTGGTAGGTTACAGACATGACTCCTCTGATCCCCATTTCTCAATTAACCACAGGATCACATGAGATGAGAAGTTTGTCCCATTATCACTAAGCAAAACCTGCGGACCTCCATGTCAGTACAATACTTTTTTCCAGGATGAACTTCACGGTGCTAGTAGTATCTACTTTCACCAGGGACTTCATCCCAAATCATTTGTCAGATGGTCAATAGCAACTATTATGTGCTTGACTCCCCTGTGCTATCATCAATGGTCCCATCACATTGATGGACACTGTATGCCAGTAAAATCCAGAGCGGAACAGTCAGTATACATTTGTATTCTTATATGGCTTGTGAAACTGGCACTCCATGCAAAAAGCTAGATAGTCCGTGACATTGTAGTCGATTGACTCCTAGTAGTAGTACTGGCAAATATTGTCAGTCATTTTTCTCAGGCCTCCATGCCTGACAGCCTTATGAGTAGCTTGAATGATAGCTTCTCTTTCCAATGGCTTCAGGAATAGTAACCACTTCCCGTTAATTATCTCAAACACTTGTCCATCCATGGTCTCAGTCTTTTCCATTGCTTTTCAAAGTGGACCTTGGATTTCTTGGGATCATTCCCAATTTTACTGTCAACCATTCTCTGGAAAAACTCATCCGCCTGCGGGTATACATCTGGACCATTGGTAACTGCAATAAGCCATCTTACTCCTGGTGAGAAGCCCCCACTCAGTGGACAATCTCATAATTGTAAGCC